CTACATACAAAAAAAGTGTGACGTGATACGTTAAACAAAGTTAAATTTGCAAAATATAGACCAACATTTGCATGCTGAAGATAAATTTATACAAAAAACTTTTTTATCGAAGACCTGTGAATAGGCTTCAAAATCGCTATTCTAGAAAAATCAACCATTGTTGGTTGCTAGGTAAATTCAAAAATATATTTTTTAATTATTTACATTTTAGGCCTTAGCGACTGACTAATAATGAAACAAGTTGTTTTAAATATGATGCCGGTAATTTGAACAGAGGAAGCAGGGACGAGCATAAAAAGCAAAAGAAAATTGCAAAAACAGCCTAATATCGGGATTTCAGGACTGAAGTGAATGAGCGCAAAAGAGCGAATATGTGACTTGGTTCCCTTTTTACCCTGAGTTCTACAGAAAACAATTTTCATATTTTCTTTTAGAAAAACTACTTCATCTTAAGATTAGTCAATAATAGACTTCAAAATCGCCAGACTAGAAAAATCGACCATCAGCCAACTCAACAAAACAAGTCATAAACACCAGAGTTTATTCAAATTGCTACAGTAATGACGCAGTTGGAATCCATTATCTTCAACGTTTTCTTTCTTTTATCAATAAAACGTGGTGAAATGGAAAATATTTCATTTTAATGTCGAACGCTTTATTCTGTTTAGATTGTTTTACGGAAAACGTGTGAAAAGTGAAACAAATTGCCTGTAAGGACTGGAAATGTCTTTCAATTCAAAACTGCTTCCAGAGTAATTTACTTACAAATGGAGTAACTGCCGATTAGGAAGGAATATCTATTTGCAATTCTAAAAATACGAATGGGAACAAATTCCATTAGCATAAATTCAAATTTCTGTCACTTATTTGTGATTGATGGAGAAGATTAAAATGTTACTCTAACAAGTACCTACCTTGCAAAATTTGAGAATTCAGACGTAGGCGGAAAACTTTCTTGTCAACGTCTTTCAATTTAACAGACAAGTGAAAAAAGGATAACGATCTCAATTTTTATAACAAGATGCGAAGCTTTACTGGATCACACGGAGGTAAGTAACACGCCCAAAAGAACCTCGTTCTTTTTTAGGAAAATGACATTATTTCCATTTCGCATATGTCATTTTTTCACATTTCTCATTTTCTGGTGTTGCAATCTTCTGATTTAATATATATTCCAGTTAAATAACCTGTCCAGGCAAAATCAGAAGTACTTCATACAATGAATAAAAGCAGAGCCGGACTGAAGATTCTTCTAAAAAAAATTTTAACGTTTCTATCTAAATGAAATTTTTATAGTTTGTTTTTTGTTTTCCTTTTATAAAAAAATTTGAAAACTATTAAAAAATTATTAAGTTTTTTTATGTTCTCTTTTTTTTCCCCATTTGGCCCGGAAGATATTTCGCCCGGGATGCATTTGCATCCCTGCACCCCGGGCCAGTCCGGCCTTGAATAAAAGTTGTGATGAATTAGAAGTACTACAAACGAGAAATTCCAGAAATATTTTTATCATTATTGAATAAACGCTGCACTAAAACAGATTTTAGGATATGACATTATGGACGCACTTTATCTTTAAAAATGTCCCCCTCAGTAACATTGAGCTTATGGATATTGTACTAATTGGTTACACAGGGAGGAACTTTCTAATGGAATAAATTCGGCAATAAATAAACGATAAATATTTGGTCAAAATTCTGAGACACATCGACTTTTAATTTTAGTTGCCCACGTGGCGTCGTAATTTTCATCACCCTATAGTCACCTAAATCTGAGTAGTGACGTCAGACATATTTTTTTCAGCGCGGAATGTTATAATATATATTTCGTTTGATTCGTCTTCTTAAAAGAAATCCAGTGCCTTTTGTTTTTTTTTTTTTCGATATATTTTTAAATTATGGAGAAATTTTGCTTCAAATTTTGAGCCCCAGTACATTACGCGAATGTTAAGTTGGCCGAGAAACAATTGAATTTTTACTAACAAACATGTCAAAATCGAATCGCCTGTAAGTTCAAACGTCAAAAACAGTACGTAGCTACTTAAAAATTCGTTATCTGACTGAAGCACACAAAAGGAATCAGAAGTAACAAAACTCGATATTCTTTTGGCTCTTCAAGAGGCTGGTCACATACGGATTAAAAATTGCTACGCGAAAAGTTGCTCAAGAACATAAAATTCACTATACAAATGCTTTACGGGTCTTAGCTACTGAGAAAATGTACCCATAAAAAATGCAAATGGTTCAGAAGAGTAGAATTTTGTGAACAAATGATGAATTTCTGGGGCTGGAATATAATAGCTACCGAACGCGTGCTTTTCTCCGACAAAGCTACTT